TTATAATGCTCACCAAGCCTGGCAAGGACCGGAAGTTGCCTCAGAACTACCAGCCCATCAGCCTGGTTTCCTCGATGGGCAAAGTAGTCGAAAAGGCTATCGCCGTTCGACTAGAGAAGCAGGCAGAAGAACTGGAACTTCTCCCCCCAGAGCAATTCGGCTTCCTCCCACAACACGGAACTCCAAGCGCTACAACCGACAGAAAACATCACCAGTGGCTTCAATCTCCAGGAGGCAATCGGCCTCGTCCTGCTGGACGTGGAACGACCCTTCGATCGAGTTTGGCACGATGGACTCATCGCCAAAATGGAAGCCGCCGGAATCGATGCAAACATGTGCCAACTGATCCAGAGCTATCTAACACAAAGATGGTTCACGGTGAAGATTGGTACATGCCACTCAACAAGATGACAGCTGGAAGCAGGCGTGCCCCAGGGGTCAGCCTTAGTCCCCCTGCTCTACAACATCTACACTCACGACGTACCGAAGACAGCTGACACAATTCTGGCCCTATATGCAGACGACACTGCTATAGCCGCCAAGCATCGACGACCCGAGATCATCCGTCGGAGACTACAGGATGAACTGGACCACATCCAGGACTGGTGCGTGAAATGGAAAATCAAGTTCCAGAAGACGCAGGCAATCTTCATCGAACGAAGAAGGATTGCAAGACCTCTCGAAGCATCCAGCTTCGACGAAGATATCCAGTGTAGCGACAAGGTCAAATATCTGGGGATCGTATTTGACAAGTCCCTCACCTAGAAAGACCACATAGAAGCTGTCATCGCAAAGACCAGACCAGCCATGGCCCAACTCTACCCATTACTGGGTAGACACAGCCGGATGCCGCTAGCGACCAAGCTACGGCTGATCAAGGCCATCGCCAAACCTCAGCTCGCTTACGCCTCCGCGGTCTGGGGGTACGCTGCTCCCAGCTACCTCAAGCGACTTGCTGCTCTAGAGATGAAACCACTCCGGATCGCCACCAGTGCACCATCCTACGTAAGAAACTCAACCTTGCGTAGAGACCTGCATTGGGACACCATTCACGAGTACATGAGGAAAAAAGCGGAGAAGACCTTCCAGAAAGCTCAGGACCACCCGAACGAGCAGCTACGACTCCTCATGGACTACGATTCGGACGAGAGGCCTCGCAACCGCAGAGCCAAGTACCCTAGACCCAAGTCCCAGTTGGCATCCGCTAACTGGAACCTTGACGACTAGGAGACTAGGAGAACCCGCGGTTGCTCCCCCCTTCCCCCATGGCGTGGAAGCAGAGGATGAGGACCAGGACGACCAGGACGAGAACCCATCAGGACCAGGACCAACCAGGACCAGGAGCCATCAGGACCAGGACCAACCAGGACCAGGACCCATCAGGACCAGGTAACATACAAGTAGTAAAGGACTTGAAACTCTTGATTCTTCGAAAACAAGACTTTCAAGAGAACACAGCAAACCCTATATCGATGCTCGCTTAACGACATCGATAGAACGGTGCGAGGTAAAGGGAGCCAACCCGGCGTTCCCAGAGACTGAAACACATGAGGAGACGTTGTAGCAGACCGCAGGTCATGCACAACACATGGCCTACCGAGACGCTGTTGAATCAGGCCACGCGGAGGTTAGGGTTTAGTGGGTATTGGGTGGTCTCCGTCTCGTCAAGACAACCTGGAGTCCCACACACGCCGTAGCTCGAGCTATTGTATGGTGCATAAACGCATTCCGCCCTCACCAAAAAAAAAAAAGGTACTGGATACTGTTACTATCCAGTGAGATGGCAAGTTGTTGCCACCTCTAAATGCACGCAAATCTAAGGAAGAACGTCTACCGATTGTTATAAGTGTGAAAATAAAGAGCAACGTATCGCTGTGTTCAAATTGGATAACTCGTCAGACAGTGAACAGGCTCAGAGAGTTTGGATGGTATTATTGACTGGAATCTCGAAATTAAAGTTCAGATTCTCTGTTGCGATACTACTGCTCAAACACTGCCTGCATGCTACTCGAACAGAAACTTAATAAAGAAATGCTTGTTTTTGCTACGAATTGGTGTTAAAACACCTGTTTGAATCAAAGATCAACCGAGTGACTACAAGCCCAGACATTCCAATATTTAAAAAGTGTCGCGAAAGCTGGAAAAGTGTGGATCGCGAGAAAATACAGATTCATACTGAAAAGCTATCATGCCTGAGTATTTCAGAGACTGAAAAGCTGTTAGAATTTTATCGACATGAATAATTGACCAAGGAAGTTGCTGGAGACGACTATCGTGAATTAATAGAACTTCCAATAATATTCCTTGTCGGAGGTACAGAGAAAAAATGTAAGATTCGACTGCCAGGCGTGATGCATCAAGCTCGATAGATGGCCAGAGTAATCTATTCTATTCTTCATAAATAGCGTTACAGACTTTCTAATAAGGATAAGACATCTGCCTGTTCATCGTGACAACATACGTGAAACCGTAGCTGCAATGCACTTTAGCGGTAAAAGCATCTAACCAGGATTTATGCTTTTTCTTATTTATTTAGCAACATCCAACAGCCAAAGCCAATTACAGGATGGATAAACATGAAAATAAAAAGAAATCCATGTAAGTGGAGGATAAAAAGAAATGCATGTAAGTGGAGAATGTACCTACGTAGAGAAAGCTCAAACGCTGAAAAAAAAAACCTCAAAACAGAACTCTGAGTAAAAAAAGCGTTCCAGCTTTAAGCTTTATCTACCCATTACTAAACAATCACAAGAGGAAATTTTATGCAAGCACTAACGAAAATAGGCATTAATGTCTCCTAAAGTCGAACAAAACGAAAATATATCTAAAACGTTATTAACTGAATGATAATTACGGCACATTATAAAGCAATGAAGACTTACAAAAGAATTGACAAAACCATTTCAAAAGCAGCATAACAAAAGTTATACCACCATTCATAGTATTTGACAGATGAAGTGTCTGCCTTATCTTTGTTTGACGACGACGTAGATGAGGAAACTAAAGTAACAGTCTTTGCTAATTTAGCCAAAGAAAGCAAATCAGCCCACGGTAAACGCTACATCCCATCGATAGAAGAACTTTCTGGCCCACTTTATGGTAAGTCTGATGAATAAATTTTCCTTTGTCTTCTTTTACTCCTTTGATATAATATGCTAACTGTTAAAATAAGCCAGCTGAACCTGCGATTCTGGCAGTAGATGGCACATTATACTGTCTTGTTTCTATAGGTCTTATACCTCAGATCGGGGTTAGTTATCCTTGCCTGAGGCCAAGCCTAGACGATGCTGATGAAATGCCAAAAAGCACAAAACATCGGTCCGACCACGGGCAGTCAAAACCAGTATGTTTAGATGGTAGCCATTTTTCCTTTGTTTATTTGAGAGAAAAATATCAATGCCTTTGTTTCAATCATACAGGTATGAGTCTAGTAAATATGTTACAAGACATTGAAAAATTATTGGGGTCCTTAGTGCATGACCAATTAATGAAGTTTATAGAAGAAAACTAAATTTTAGTGGAGGCGCAATGAGGCTTTCGCAAAAAATATTCCGCAGAAACGGCTTTCCAGTTGGTAACTGAGAATTGGAGAAGAGTCATAGACTCAGAAGAAGTTGTCATAACAGTATTTTTGGATTTGAAGAGGGCATTTGAAACGATTGTTAGAGATGTTTTGTTAGGTAAATTGAAGGCATATGGTATATCAGGAAGTGTTTTAGATTGGTTTAGAAATTATTTGTCTAAAAGGACTTACAAAACTTACAAAAGTTAATAATGTTCCACAGGGCAGTATACTGGGACCACTTCTTTTTATTTTACACATAAATGATTTACCTGCCATAATAAAAATTTGTAAAATTCATATTTTCGCCGATGACACTATGATTTACATATAAATATTCAGACTGGTATCTTTTATATAAACGAAGACTTGTTTCAAAATGGTTAGCATCTAACAGACTTAAATTAGATACAAGTAAAACGAAAGCTATGTTAATAAAAAAACAATGTACAAATGTTCAACTGATTGTGATATGGAGTTCATAGACAATTTTAAGTACCTTGCGGTTTTTGTTCATTCTCGATTAATTTTTGATATTCATTATGAAAAAGTTATAAATACGATTTACGTTTTTTTTTTGTTAACTAACCAGATTTTGGGATATTAACGCCCCAAGCACCAGTTTATGGAGTAGTACCCCTTTATCTTGTACCTTACGTTTAGTTGTGTTGGTTAAGGTACTATCCCGTTCATTTTGTAATGGGATTTTAACCTCCAGCGGTCAGTTCTCTTTTGAATACCATCGGACTACGACTTTTAATGCTTGCCAGTAAAGAAGTCTGTTCAATATCTGATTCCTTTTTTTGGAAAGACAGTGTGGAGAACCACCATTCACACTCCTCCAGCTTTGTTTTGTAGCTGCGTTGTAGCTGTTTCGCAGCCGACTTTGTTGGAAGCCATCTCTTCCCGTTTATAAAAACCCTGATGAACAGGTAACATATATTATAATTTTAATTGGGTATTTTATAGATATTGATATATCGATTGTTTGGCATTTTACGAATTCAAATATAGGGTAGTGCCTACATGTTACTCTCTTTTGGCCTTATTGCATTACATTAATTATGATTTTGAATTTTGAGCTGCCATAACCTATTTTAGAACAAGGGATAGCTGTCTGAGAGTATATCACTTATAACACTATAAATTTTTATCTTTTCTTGCCCTTGCAGAAAGAAAAGTAAATTTCTAGTAACAGAGAATGTACATGGGTTTTTCTTCAAGTTTGAGTCTTTTAAATGTGTAGTTCTGTCTCAGACACAGAGTAGAGAGTAGATTTTTAAACAGTCTTTTTTTCTCTCTAGGGTTTTTTTTATACCATAAATTTTTAGAACGAGGCAAGCAGCCCCTACCTTGTGACATTACTTTCGTCTCTGCTCACTACTGGTCACTGATTTTTGACCTGAGTTTTTGAGAGCTGGGAAAAAAGTCAATACGCGCACTTATTCCAAATGCGGGCATTTATTGGTCAGACACCAATAAACATAAAATAAACTATAAATAAAATAACATAAGCAATAAGTCAATATTTTCAGTGAGAAGGATGAAGCTGATGCTTTAATAATAAAAATTATCAACATTTGGCGACAATTTTGTAAGGGTTAATCTTAAAACTCCTCGGCTAATGATGTCCAGTTTGTTTCTTTTTTTGGTTAGGAGATTGGTAACAGCGCTGAACCCCCTTTCCACTAGGTATGACGATGGAAAGGAAATTAAAAATTTCCTCGCTATATTCCATAATACGGGATAAGTAACGGGTTTGTTGTTTTGCAGCCAGAATTGCTGATATCCGTTTTTAAACTGAACCTTAAGTTCTTCGTTTGTACTTAGTTCAGTCAGTTCCTCTTGTATCATGACATTCGTTTCTTCTATGTCATCATATGGATTAATTATCCATGGTGGAATCACCATAGTCAAAATACCCTCAAACCTAGATTCAAAATCTGAATAGAGGGCATTGAAATGTTGAACGTAACTTGAAACGGCGTCTTCCTGGCATCTTGTCTGTGACAAATTGGGGAACTGAGAAAATTCGCCCCGTCCAATATTTTGCTTCATTAGTTTAACTCTGGCAAGAAACGCTGATAAGATGGACTTTGTTTTAATCAAATTTAAACTGTCGCCTTGTAATTGCAACTTAACCATATTAAATTTTGTAAACAAATCTGTTAAATAGGCGATGTCTGTTTTCCTTTTCAATAAATTTTCTTTTAAAATTTTATCTTTAGTACCCAGAAATTCTAAAATAGTCTCAAAAAGTGCAAAAATCTTGTCAAACATAAGCCTTTCGACAGCCAGCGTACTTCAGTGTGAAGGAGTAATTGATGAAAGTGTTCGTCATTTTTTCACACAACTGCGCAAATAACCGCGTACTCAACGCGTTGCTTCGGATTCGGTGTACTGCATCAATGACTAAATGAAGTGATTCATGCAATCTAACACTCAAGCAACTAAACGTTGTCGATGGATGACGCAATATATTGCTAACACCCCTGACACATTTTGTTTTAAATAGCTTATCAATCCACGATAACGTCCAACCATGGTAGCTAGTGATATTATATTTGATAAAGGAATTGCTTTTTCAATGAAGTAATCCTTCAAAACATGAAATATTGATTCACCTTTAGTGTCGGTTATCAAAGTTCTTGCGAAGAGCAGTTCTTCGTAGATTTCTTGATTCATAATAAAACGAACATATGCCAATAATAATGCTGCATTATCAGGTAAAGTTGACTGTTCCAGTTGTATAGAGAAATGGGTCGTTTGCAAATAATTACATAAGAAGCTTTCAATATCAGAACTCATTTCATCAATACGTCTTTCAACAGTATTGTTGCTTAAGGGAATTCTTTTAATGATATCAGATGCAGGTTTGTGTAAAACAGTTTTTAAAACCTCTTCAACGGCTGGCAAAATTGACTTCTCTCCGATAGTATGCGGTTTTCCGGATTTTGCTATAAGTAACGAGATATTGTAAGACGCCCGCAAACCATCATCATTTCCTTGTGACGTCGAAGCGAACATTCTGTCCAGTGTAGGTCTCTTCTGAAATTTATCTTTGAGTGTTTGAAAGTATTTCAAATCTTTATCTGTTTTATCAGGGTGGCATCTTCTCAGATGATCTTGCAGTTTAGATGGTTTCATAGCGTCATTGCCCAAAACTTTGTTGCATAAAAGGCACATAGGCGATTGTTTGTCCGGCAATGATGGAATGAAGCCAAATCTCAAATAATCAACACTGTACTGTCTACATTTCTTTTTAGATTCGGACATGGCATCAGTCATCTGTGAGCAAAATTAAATTATTTAAATAAGGCAGAAAATCCAGCAGCTGTATATTAAAAATATTTTTTGATTTTTCCGAAAACATTCCATAATTCGAACATCTTCTTGCAACAATCAGCTCGAATTACGGAGATTGCACTGTAATTATATTACCGATTGCTAAAACTTTCAAAAAGAAACTATTGAGTACTCGTGTAATTTTGCATGATTGAATATTTAACTACTAATAACTACAGTCATGATTGGCGTAATTTATCTATCTTTGCTAACTACGAGTACAAAACTAAAATTTAATAAAAAATAATGTACTTACTTTTCTCCAGCACTCTCAAACAAAATAACACTGACTCACTATAATTTGTGTGATATACTATCTGTTTATATTTTTTAAAATATTTTCTTAGCACTTTCCTTTTCAAGATTCAGGAAACGAATAAACGTATTTGTCCCACATTCGTATTTATAGAGTGACGAATTGAACAAGTCAGTGCAAGGTAGCGAAGCTCTGAGACTGCGACTCTCAGGTTTTTACAAGTTCAAGATGTATTGCGACCACAAAGCGAATACCAACATCCTACAACTTACACAATTTTATAAACATATATAATACATTTTTTACTTCATAGGTACTTTTATAAATAATGTATATGTTTTGATATTATAAGATACTATGATGTAAGTAAATAGGTACTATCGGTGTATGTGTTGAGATCCACTATCGTGGACCCCCATATTCATTTCATGGACCCCAAATTTTTTTTCGCTGACGTAGACCCCTTGCAGGTTGTCATAGACCCCTAGCTTGTTTTGGCATTATGTTGTGATTATTTTTTTAGATATCTTGTTTTATTTGCATCTCTGTATACAGTTAATTAAGTTTTATCATTAGTATTATATTTTTATTTTTCTTTGTGTGGTGGTCAAGCAAAACAAGTCCCGACTCGGGGATTTCTGGCTTAATCCGTCTTGAGTCACTAGCGCTCTTAACCCCCCCTACTCTCCGCTTTATTGAGCTAGGGCCTAAATTTGCACGCCACTTGACAGCTGTTTTGCTTTGACAGGTCCTTGGATTTCATTTATAGTAATTTATTAATTCATTAATTAATTTAAAACAACGAAAGAGGAATCACCCCACCATTTCCTCATATTTATAAAAAAAGGCGTGACACACCCTAATGTTCAGCCTTGAATTTCTCTGCAAATAAGGGAATCTCCTAATCTGTTAATCAAACAATTCCAAGGACTCATTTGATAGTATAATTCCTTTCCCTTTAGCGGGTCGTAATGTTTGTGTGGCGAGTCACTCCTTCCCTTTGAATAAATGATGAGAAGCGGCGACATTACGGGTGATCCCGCCTTGTTTATTAATATATAATTCAACAAGTTTAATGATAGCAATGGTCAGAACGTGGTCACGCGATTTTTACTACTATGGAGAGCGGCAGCGAAAAAAGTCAGCGTTCCGTAACAATGGAGTTAATGGAATTAACTACAGTATATTCAGATAAGAGATAGACCGGATGTAAACAAAAGGTTCGGGTGATTTTCACGCTAACGCCGCCGTCTCGACGTAAAACAGGAGCCCTCATTGGTCAATTCGCAATTAAATGCCTATGCCGAGCGGCAGAGCAGTCGTATCAAGGCAGAGTCACATTCAGGTTCAGACGTGTTACGTATGTCGTGTGCATCATTGCAATTTGATATTTCTTTGGACGTTTTCGTTTGTTATCTTATTAAGTTGTTGAGTTTGTCGTTGTTATTGTTATACCTTGTTATTGATTGTTATTGTTATCAACTGCTTGCGCAAAATGCCCAGTAGTACAGATACTGCCGATGAAGTTGTAAACTCCTGTAGTCCACCTAGGAAACGCTCTAAAAAAAGACACCTGAGTGCAGAAATGAAAGAGGTCATTTTGAATATATATAAGATCAAGCGCGAGGAGAACGAGGCATCAACCATCAAAGAAATTGTTGTGAAGGTTTCTCACAAAGTTGGGGTGTGTCGCGCATCAGTGTTTAATGTGTTAAGACAATACAAAAAAAATCACACCTTTTCTGAGCCAATGACCAGTAAACATCGCAAAAGTATTGTTAAATCATTGGATGAAGCTGATAAGCATGCGATTAGGAGGAAAGTGCATGAATTCTTCTTTAGGAATGAAATACCTACTATAGATAAAGTACTGCAGGAGGTAAATGGAGATACAACGTTGCCAAATTTCAAACGATCAACTTTCCATGCGTTACTGAAGCATTTAAATTTCAAATGGAAAAAACGGGGTCGTAATAGTTTACTACTGGATAGAGAAGAAATTGTGCTATGGAGGAGGGATTATTTAACAAAAATTGGGAAATATAGAAATCAAAACATGAAGATTTATTACCTTGATGAAACGTGGGTAAACGCAGGACACACTACAAGTAAAGTATGGGTTGATGATTCTGTAACTTCATCCAGGAGGGCCTTTCTGGATGGATTGTCCACCGGATTAAAAAATCCAGCAGGTAAATACGAGTAATAGACAACAATCGGATGTTTTTCAAACCTTGGGAACAAGGTTCTAAACATTAATTCCAGGGGGCAGATAAAACATATTACAAGTAACAAAACTTTTATAACTTTCGATAAAATGCGTGGATGTTTTATTGTCATTTTCATTTGTTAGAACTTTTTTAAGCCATGTTTTTATGTGTTTAAAAAAAGTTACTAAGTTTTATATTGTGTACCGTTCCTAATATTTCTAATCATTTTAATTCATACTTTAAGCTTTATAAAGTTATAATTTGTTAATATTAATATTTGCGCGTATTTCAGGTTCCTGATCATTCATTTTTTAAAGGTTTATAACTTTAAATTAAATTGTGAAGCGCTGAGTAATCATACGACGTTCAATATTCTTTCTTTCAATATGACTAAATAATCCCAATTATAGCAATCTGATACTCATGTCTCAATGTTTTTTCGCTGAATGTGATGAAAACGTTTGAAAAAGGTTCGCTTATTGAAATAAATCTACACCAGTTAGTACTTCGACTTCCAGCTAAAGGGAAAAGGCTCATTATCTGCCATATTGGCAGTGAGGATGGATTTGTTGTTGACGGTCTGTGGTGCTTTGAGTCTAAGAAAACTGGAGATTACCACGAGGAAATGAATGGCGAATCGTTTGAACAGTGGTTTTCAAAAATTTTACCGAACTTAGAGGAAAACGCAGTAATTGTGTTGGATAATGCGCCTTATCATTCTCGAAGAATGGAGAAGGTCCCAACAACGGCTTCAAGGAAAGTTGATGTTCAAAATTGGCTCCGCTCGAAAAATATCAACTTTGAAGAAGCAATGCTGAAAGTACAATTATTAAGAATTGTCAAGGATCACAAGGCGGAATATCAAAAATACGCCATTGACGAAATGGCAGCAAGTCAAAATAAAACTGTGCTCCCTTTACCTCCATACCATTGCGAGCTCAATCCCATTGAGCTCATATGGGCAGAGGTTAAAAATTATATAGCTAAGCACAATACAACTTTTAAATTTTGTGACCTCAAAGGACTTTTCAAAGAAGCACTAGAATTAATAACAGCGCAAA